TGTATGGAAGTTGTATGGTTGCAAGGATGCCCATTACCATTCCAAAATATACTGTCCTTAGTGAATGGTCTAAACTTGGTTAAATATTAATTGTTGTGCCTGTACATGTCTTGCACACAGGGAGTTTAGTTAGCTTTAAGTCTACCTGCTGAGATCAATCAAGACTTTGAGTGTGGCCTTTTATCATCAAAAATTAGAGAAAAAAGTATAAAAATAAAAAAAATCGGTGTACTGGAGTTTAGTCATAGGTTTACATAGACACCCTGAAATTGAACTGCGCTTCTAGATTCCTGTGTGTTGTCTGTTTTTTCTTTTTCTCTTTCTTTTTTAATATATATTTTTTTTTGTTGTGGTTCTTGTGCATGATTCATTCTGATTTATTTCTCTTCTGTTAAAGGTTTGGTGTATATAATTTGAAAAAAAAAAGAAAAAAAAATTGTAGAGAATCATGTTACACAAATGTACATATGTAAAGAGAGGAATACTATTTTAAAAGTTACTTTGTTTTTAATTCACCTTTGCCATCTTGATAGTTATAGTTGTTATAGTTATTATTGTTATTATTATTATTTTTTTTTTTTTACCACAAGTTATTTTTTCCCTATATTTTACAAGTTTCACTTGTGCAGTCAGGACAATAATAGTTAAGCTAGTTTAGGGGAGGCATTTGACTTTGTGTATGGAAGTTGTATGGTTGCAAGGATGCCCATTACCATTCCAAAATATACTGTCCTTAGTGAATGGTCTAAACTTGGTTAAATATTAATTGTTGTGCCTGTACATGTCTTGCACACAGGGAGTTTAGTTAGCTTTAAGTCTACCTGCTGAGATCAATCAAGACTTTGAGTGTGGCCTTTTATCATCAAAAATTAGAGAAAAAAGTTTAAAAATAAAAAAAAATCGGTGTACTGGAGTTTAGTCATAGGTTTACATAGACACCCTGAAATTGAACTGCGCTTCTAGATTCCTGTGTGTTGTCTGTTTTTTCTTTTTCTCTTTCTTTTTTAATATATATTTTTTTTTGTTGTGGTTCTTGTGCATGATTCATTCTGATTTATTTCTCTTCTGTTAAAGGTTTGGTGTATATAATTTGAAAAAAAAAAAAGAAAAAAAAATTGTAGAGAATCATGTTACACAAATGTACATATGTAAAGAGAGGAATACTATTTTAAAAGTTACTTTGTTTTTAATTCACCTTTGCCATCTTGATAGTTATAGTTGTTATAGTTATTATTGTTATTATTATTATTATTTTTTTTACTTGAAATTAACCCCTATGATCTGGATGATGTGACCATAACGTTTTCAGGAAAATTGTTCTGAGTGGGTGATGTGAACAAACCATCATGGGAAAATTTGGCTGAGGGTTGGTGTGACTGGAACTTGCCATGATGAGAATTTTGGCTGAAGACTTGGGTGATGGGAATGACAAGCCATGAGTGCACAAAGCTCTTGAGGGTGATTAGACTCAGTGGGCATTAACCCCTTGCCGCCGGGTGACGGTGATACGTGTGTAAACAAATCGCTCGAAAGGTGGCGTGCGGCCAAACCAGCCGGTGGCGCGCCAAAGCGCGGCGAGCCAGTGATTCGGGCTGACGCCCCGTACTCCGGCGCTCAAAGTCGGCGCGCCGCCTTTGTTTGCCAGAGCGTAGAGTTTTATTTTCCTTTTGTACACCCGGCGTCATTGGGTTAAGGAAGGGGCTTTTGCATTATTTCCATTGATAAATGAGTGTGATGCAGGACTGGAAGGGTGCCAGCTCTAGGGAGGAGGCTTTTTCCATGCTCAGGATCCTATTCCTGCCTGCTGTGACTGGCAGCACAGGTATTACAGAAAACTGAACAGTAAGAAAAAAATAAATTGACACATTACTTATTATTATTATTAGTGCACTGAGTTATGGACTACCTAGAGAGATAATATGGGTGCTGTACAAGGAAAGCAGTCTCGTTACCATCTGGATAAAGCAAATCAAATGACAAATATAGACATTGGAAAATGGGAAAAAAAGCTAAAAATACTAATGCAGAATAGGAAAATAGGGGAGGAATGGAGTCTTGTCACCACACACCAGTGTTCTGTGTGCCTGGCCTACAAGCTGTACACCCATCACAGTGGCCACTCAAGTAAACCCGTATTTTGGCTCATGTGGGTAGTGAAGCACCCGAATCCAAGGGTTAAGAAAGTTGTTACTTCTGTACAGAAGTAACAACTCTAGTTAAAAAAGTTTTTCCAATTCACAAAGCAGACTGCCGAAATAAATATAATTTATGCTTCTCATTCCATTTATTATACAAATACACTTTGTAAGTGTATAAATATACACATCAGACAGTGAGATATGTTTGGCACTTGTATAACCGCAGTTTTAGAAAAAAAATCAACTAGCAGATATACTTTACAAGTCTGTGTACATTTACACAGAATGTGAGCATATACATGCATAATGCATACATATACAAACAAGTTGTGAAAGAACTTAAAACAGTTCTAATATTATCAAGGCTTCAATGCCTGCTGCTGGTAAATTCAGTCACAAATGCCCATTGCTGTTCTCATTAAATTACATCTGTGATGAACATGATTAAATAAAACAATTCATAGTCCTCTATAATAAAACTTCCATTGCTTTCTTTATAAGTAAGATTTAGAAACACTTTTTGACTTTCTTGCCAAGAAAAGAATACAATTCAAAACTCCAAAACAGAATACCAATACAACAGTCCATAACTCTTCTGTAGGGATCTTGAAAATCTAAAGAAGTTTAACAACAAACTACTAAGAAACCCATCATTTAACATCACACTGAGACCCAGAATTCCTTGTATTAAAGCTATCAAAGAGATTTATGTCTTGGATAAAAGGCACAATTTAAATCATTTTGACTGATCACTGTAGTTTGTACTGAGTAAAGCACATAAAACTGAAAACAACCCTTCAATACACAATAACCATGCATCCAAACACTCCAAACAGAATTGGTTACACAACAGAATTTTTCTTTAAAGTGATTTATTGAACATTCATCTCACACTTCATTGTGGAAAAATTTACAAAAGTTTGTTCTCCCAAGAGTATTCACACAAGTTCACCGCAGTTGGAGATCACAACCTTCTCGGAAGGCTTCCCTGACTTGGAGCCACATTTCTGGAAATAAAGGGTACAAGTTGAAGTATAGTCAGCTTGTTATAAAAGAAAAACAATTGAGAACATTTAAATGAAATTCCATTACATATAGATGCAAGATATGTAATAATGTTACTGAATTTAATGCTTATTTCTGGGTCTATAGAAAATACTTTTACTTGCCTCCATTTTTCTGATAACATCCATACCACTGACAACCTGACCAAAGACAACATGTTTATTATCAAGCCACTCTGTCCGCTCAGTGGTTAGGAAGAACTGAGATCCATTGCTGTTTGGGCCAGAATTAGCCATTGAAAGTATTCCAGGACCTGTAAACAAGTAAATTGTCACCTAAATCACACTTATAATCAATGCAGTGATCAGAATTTATTTTTATATTATCATATTTCACATTTCTAAACACTGCAATTCTTACAAACATATATTGTTTTTCTTTCCAGTATTCTGGAATGAGTATACGAAGGTATAAACACTCGAATAAGATTTAACTATACCTGTATGCCTTAGTTTGAAATTCTCATCTTCAAACTTGGAGCCATATATAGACCTTCCTCCTGTGCCATTATGGTTGGTAAAATCTCCACCTTGACACATGAAACCAGGGATGATGCGATGAAAAGTTGACCCCTGGTAGCCATACCCTTTCTCATGTGTGCAAAGGCAACGGAAATTCTGAAAAGGAGGGAAAATGTATTCTTGGAGTAGAGAGGGAGAACGGGAAGGTGGGAGGGAGGGGGGGGGGGGAGAGACAGAGACAGAGAGAGAGAGAGAGAGAGAGAGAGAGAGAGAGAGAGAGAGAGAGAGAGAGAGAGAGAGAGAGAGAGAGAGAGAGAGAGAGAGAGAGAGAGAGACAGACAGACAGACAGACAGACAGACAGACAGACAGACAGAGAGAGAGAGAGAGAGAGAGAGAGAGAGAGAGAGAGAGAGAGAGAGAGAGAGAGAGACTACTGCTACTACTATTACTACTAGAGAAAATAGTAAGAGTTAGAGTTAGAATAATAATAATAATAATAATGATAATAATAAAACAATAATAATAAAAAGTACATTAAGAATTATAATGAAAATGATAATGATATACATAAAAAAATAATTACAATAATAATGAAGGAAAATTTAATAATGATAACCATAACAATAATGAGAATGCTGATGTTGAAGATGGTTATGATTATAATAAAATTCACAATAATTATGACGATGATTATTATTAATACTACTACAACTACTACTACTATTACTAATACTACTACTTATTACAATAACAATAATCATAATCATATAATAATAACAACACCAATAATAATAATTATAATAGTAATAATAATAATAATTATTATTTTTATAGTAATAATAATGACAATTATAGTAATTTTAGAAATAATAATAATAATAATTATAAGCATTATGATA